TCCCAGTGGGAGCTGTTCCCGGTCACATGGTGCCTGGTACCAGGCACATTCACGGAACCCACTAAACCCGAACCCCCAGGAGGGAGGCCAGGAATGCCCCTGTACCCATGCCTGAAGGTACCCATTTGGGAGAGAAGGGTCAGACGGTAAGTTTGGCGTAGTTTGTGGCGTCTAATATTTTTTTTTTTTTTTTTTTTTTTTTTAGTTTTTGAGAGAGAGAGAAAGAGCGCGAGCCAGCAGGGGAGGTGCAGAGAGAGCGGGGGAGAGAGAATCCCAAGTGGGCTCTGTGTCGTCAGCGCAGAGCCTGATGTGGGCTCAAACCCACAAAACCGTGAGATCGTGACCTGAGCCGAAGTCAAGAGTCAGACGCTTAACCAACTGAGCCACCCAGGCGCCCCTCGTGGAGTCTAAGCTTCTAGCAGGACTGAAACTTAAACGGCACTAATGTGGATCACCTAGGTTCAAAGTCACCCCAGGGAAAAGCCTCAGCCAGCTCAGAAATATGGTGCAGTCATATTTTGTACAAAACGGAAAGAGTGCAGTAACAAAATACCAATACCACTTTACTTGTTTTGCACAAAATAAAAAACAAGGCAAGCCCCCTCCCTCTAATGTAAAAATGTGCCAAGAATGGCCTACTTTCGGAACCGGTGGGCTGGGAGAAGCCCCACGGCGCTCCCCTCAGGACGGCCTGCCTTCGCTCACAAACAGGGACTGGTTTTGTCCAGGGAGGGACTCGTTCTGAATTCTGTAAAGCCATCAAGAATGATCCCTGTTTGCAACATGATTGCTCATGCGAAACCATCTCTCAAGAAGCCCTACACATCCTGTTCTTGACTCCTACGGGGACAGAGGTCACCACCTCTTCAGATGAGTAGCAGTGTGGTTTCTGCTTGCACCAAGGGCCCTTGCGTTCAAACACACACTTTATATTTAGGCACTAAAATTACACTCAGTCTGGGGGGGATAGTCACTGATGGAGTAACCTAGGCCATAGCAAATGAAACTCTCCCAGCGCTGGCTCACTCCAGAGTGGTACCAGATGGTCTGGGTACCATCTGGTACCCATCTTCCCAGATTGGGAAGTCTTTTACCTCCGGGGGTGTGCGATGGAGGACGGGCCAAGCAGACACCGCTAAGTTCTATACACGATACACATGTGTGACGCGAAATTACTCTGAGTTATAACTGGAAAGCAAGGTGGGCCAGAGCCGAATGAAGGCCGTGGACAGCGTCATCCTGGTGTAGCACAAGGGAAGCTCGTGTGTCTTCCACGGGGGTTGAGGCACAGGTGTGACTTCGGCGGGGGTGCCTTTAGCCTTGGGTCTGAGGCTGAGTTTTGCCGATTCAGAGCATCAACCAGACACAAGAGACTGACTCGAAAGCAGACCCTCCTTGGTCTCGTCATCCACGGCCACTTGTGTAACGTAAGTGTTTGCTATCAGTCATCCAGACCAGCGCTGCCCGCCAGAACTTTCTGCAATGATGGCGACGTTCTGTGTCCGCATGGATCATCATGGCGGCCCCTAGCCACTTGTGGCTGTTGAGCGCTTAATATGTGGCCAGGGCCACCTGGAACGGAACTTTTCATTTTATTTTTATGAATTAGAATTAAAATTTAAATAGGTGTGTGTACTTAGTGGTAGCATATTGGACTGCACACACTAGAAAACACCACGCTCTCTGTCTACCTGTGGTCACCCCCACGTTCGTCCTTCACCCACGCATCTCCCAGCTGGACTCCGGGCCTCCATTAAAAAAAAAAAAATTTTGGGGCGCCTGGGTGGCGCAGTCGGTTAAGCGTCCGACTTCAGCCAGGTCACGATCTCGCGGTCCGTGAGTTCGAGCCCCGCGTCAGGCTCTGGGCTGATGGCTCGGAGCCTGGAGCCTGTTTCCGATTCTGTGTCTCCCTCTCTCTCTGCCCCTCCCCCGTTCATGTTCTGTCTCTCTCTGTCCCAAAAATAAAATTAAAACGTTGAAAAAAAAAATTTTAATGTTTATTTATTTTTGAAGGAGAGAGATAGAGTGTGAACAGGGGAGGGGCAGAGAGAGAGGGAGACACAGAATCTGAAGCAGGCTCCAGGCTCCAAGCTGTCAGCACAGAGCCCGACGTGGGGCTCGAACCCATGAACCGCGAGATCACGACCTGAGCGGAAGTCGGACGCTTAACGGACTGAGCTACCCAGGTGCCCCTGGACTCTGTGCCTCCTTGAGCACTGTGTGACACAGCTCCCATAGACAATGAGGTGTGTGTGTGTGTGTGTGTGTGTGTGTGTGTGTGTGTATGTGTGTGTGTCTGAGTATACAGTTACCATAGAGCTTTTCTTCTCTAAGAGGATTTGTCATTCTTATTTCAAATAACCAAATTCCCTAATTCTCCAAAATGACATTGTGGTAATTTGCCGTAGACCAACCAAGGAAAAAAAAAAATTCTTCTGCAAATTAATGTATCATTTTAGGAGATTTCTCTGGAAGGCGTGTGGGCCCAGACGCAGAGAGAAGAGTTAGCTGGATGATCAACTTCAGCGGCTTGTTGTCATGGTCGTGGAATTCACACACTTACTACGTATTTGTTTTTGTCCTCTGGTCTCAAACACAACCCGTGTCTTCTTCCCCACACCAACTTCCTATAAATGGGAGTCCAAGAAGAACTCACCTCACTCCGAGAAGCAGCACCAATGCTCCGTGAAGAGACCCAAAGATAAAGGGAGAAAATGACAGGAAAAACATCAAACGGTAAAGAGCGCTCACTGGAAAAACACTGCCACGGGCTAGATTGAAATTGCAACCACATATAATATAAACTTAAAAAGAAATCAAGCAATCAGATCACAGAAGCTCAAAGCAGAGATGCGCGCATTCAAGGAGTATATTCAAGGCAAGGGACACGGCTCTAAACACAAGCAGGAGTGAGGCGCCTGGGTGGCTTGGCTGGTTAAGCATCCAACTCTTGATTTCGGCTTGGGTCGTGATCTCACAGTTCATGGGTTCGAGCCCCGTATGGGGTTCCCCACGCTGACATCGTGGAGCCTGCTCGGGATTCTCTCTCTCCCTCTGTGCTCCGTCCCCGCTCATGCTCTTTCTCTCTCTCAAAATAAACAAATGTTAAGGAGAAGTGGGAGGGCCATACACAGACTTCCTGGCGGTGGAGTCTGCATGGAGGCAGCAAGAGAAGGGATCCCACAGAAACATCCTACGTGACCCGGACGACATGTTGGAGCCACAGTAGATAAGCCAAAGGGAAGTGAGTTAAGAGGGTTTGAGAAAAAGCAAAGGTATTGGAATGCAGGTCAAGGGGACCCAACACACACATAATTGCTGTCTTTGAAAAAAGACCTGCCCTGTGCAGTGACGGGACAAAAATATACACAGATGTAATTCAGGAAACATTTCCAAACATCAAACAAGATTTTGATGTATCTACAGAGGGAAAGCGCACACTCTCTCCTGGGGGTGGCGGATGACACTTACCAATCAATGTCAACCCCGCGCTTATTCTAGGCTTCCCAGAAAGGATCACTAGGGTTCCCTCCAGTGCCCCATGTGTCTTGGAGTGCCCTCTGCTGGCCATGCTGAGACCTGCAGCCACAGATGTCCATCTGTGGTCTTTGCCACCCCAGGTGAGCGGCCCCGTCGTCTACTGTGGGATGACAGACAAAGCCTAACCCTGCAAAATGATTAAGGCTTCACGTGTTTCCTGCCCTTCTTGTTAATGTACAGCTTCCGGTATGAGATGGGGGGGATACTGAGTTTACCATCTGAAAACCCAAAGCTGTAAGGCAGTTTACTTTTGACAGTTAACAAGCTCATGTTTTGTTTTGTTTTTCTTTTAATCATTAAAATCCCTTCCTGTGGCTTTAGTCATCACTCAAAATATGTTTTAAAAACCAATAACAAACACAACCCAGATCAAGTTGGCCCTTTGGCCCACCTGTTCATCTCCTAATGGCTTACATCATCTTCTTTGAAGGGACCATGAAATCCACATCTCAGACCCCGGCCGGGTGGTTCCTCCCCTACCTTGGGCTCTGGGTGGACGGAAACAGGAGGTTCTTCCTTGCCATGGTGCCCCCACACCCCCACTCCAGCACACTCTGGTGTCACGGCACCTAGCAGCCTGGTCCAGTCTCCCTCTCTGCCCCCCTCCACATGCCCCCTCCCCCCACCCGTCTGATTCTCATCTCCTGCACTATGGACACACCCCAGCCCACAACACAGACTCCCCACACCCGATCACGCCCCAGGCCCAACGTGATCGTGTCACACACACCCGTCTCGCGAGCACACCAAGATCAAATCCTTCCTACTACTCTTCCTCCCGAGACGGGCCTGCCTCATAGGGGACGAGCAGAAATCAGGGACCTGGATTCTGAAAACAAATGACAGGGGATCAAATGCCACAGCTGTGCCCCTGCTGGTGGACAAGCCTGGCTCGTGACAGTATTCCCTCACTCTCTGCCCGGGGTGGGACGGGAGGCGGTGAGTCAGGCCTGAGTACGGGTAAGGGGTACACCCACCGGGGTCCCTCAAGTGAGGTCCTGGGGCAGCAGAGACCCGGGGCATTCGTTCCCTTGATCTTTCTACCAACTTCTTCTTTGACTAGAAAACCCAGCTCTGTCCCACCGCAGTGGGAACAAAGCCACTGGATTTCTCAGAGACAAACATCCATGAGTCTCTTGAGGTGTCTGCAAAACTTGCGTGGAGATCAGACTACCTCCGAAGCACCCCAAAGCGTGCGATTCTGCGGTGTGGGTGCAGGGGGAAGAGGCCGTTGAGAGGATCCTGGCATCAACATGGAGGCACCTGGCCTGTGTCACTGGAGTCCAGAGTCTCTCAACAGGCCCATGAGGGCTCGTGCGTCACACGTCAATTCCTTTCCAACTCGTGCTTGACCAGCGCCAAGAAGCACACTGCTGGTAGTCTATGTGATTTCCAAAGGTTTTTAGGGGCTGCCCAGCTGGAGGGTTTCAAAACACAGAAACAGACACACGAGCCGTGGAAAATGAAGAACGCTACAGTAATGTTTATTTCTAATTACAAGAAACAGAACGTCAAGTCCCTTATTTGTACAAAAATACCTGAACGTTTACAATTAGGTTCACAAGCCGCAGAGCTATGTACAGAAAGGAGCAAAGCATGTGGAATAAAGGTCTTGTCCCTGAACCCTTTCTGCATTCCCTGAAAATGTTTACAGGTCAGACCACTGCTTGTGCTGTGACATCGCCATCCACCGCGAGCAGGTCCCGCCCCGCAAAGGTGAGGCTCTTGGTCAAACCGTCAGGTATTAAGTGCAGAAAAGAGAGGACCAAACAGCTAGACTGAGGCACGCATTTCTTCACGGTTTAGCAAACAAAACAACATTCTAGAACTTAACGACCGAAGGGAACAGAGCTCACCCATGAACCTTGAATCCCCGAGGCATTTGGTATTTCCTTCCCAACAAAGTCCAGGTTGCTACGTGGGGTTTTCGACTTCGGAGAGGAAAATCACAGGCAGAGAGATTAAAAAGTCAACAGGCTCTAAAATGACCCTGAGCTGTCCCGTTTACATTCATGTCATCTAAATATAAAAATAAAAGTTGAATGTCCTTCAGCCCCTGAGTGGCTGGGCCGGACGCCCACATCCTTGAGGGACCGGCTGCTTTCGGGGGGGGGGGGGGAACTCCCAGCCACCAGGCCCAGCAGTGAGACAGCTGCAGACTGGGGGGTGGGGGTCCCACCCTCCAGCACTTGACCGCGGCCAGGGAGGTCCAAAAGACTACGTCAAACCGGCGACACACAGACTGTGCGTCAGAGGCCAGCTTTTGTCTTCCTTTTAAATAAAAGGCAGGTTTATAAATACAAAATGCTGTGGATGCGGTCTATTGGAGAGGGCCGTGAGAGTCTCATCTTACTGGTCTATGTAAAGAGAAAAAAAAAAAAAAGGAAAAAGAAATCATAGAACTTTTTTAAGGTTCGGCTTCCAACCGGTGAAAAGAAAAATGTCGAACTGTGCGAATAAAGAGCCGATCCAAGGTGAAGGGCCCCGGGAGCTTGCCGCCAGGTAAGACTTGAGAATTACCTACGTGTCAATAGTCTGAAAGACAGAAGTGGCCACAGAAAGAAGAGAACGCAGCTGAGCGTTTATGGTTCAAAACGTTTTACCACAAAGTCTGTACTTGTGTAAGTAGACGTTTCACGGAAGACGAGTAGAGTGAGACCTGTAAAGTGAAATACAGTGTTTCTAGACCCTAGAGTTCCTTCGAGGGCATCTGTGTCACTGAAGCCGGCCACATGTGTCCCACACCGTGGGCACATTCCTCCAGGGGCATGGTGCTGGGTCAGGGCCAGGCCACCTAGTGGCTGGCACCCATCCAGAGGACCAGTCACATGTGGTGACTGATCTCAGAAAAGGGGACCATTTTCACCACACTAGTCTGTACGCCTGTCAAGGGAGACCTTTCTGCTCTGCAGAGAACGAAGGGAAGGACACGGCCACTCTCACACCTGGTGACTCTGCTAAGGGGCGTGCGGAGGGACACTCCAGCCCCCCCACCCCCGTGTGACTCAGCCCCCCAGAGGGGTAAACAGGGTGCGTTGATAAGACTCTTCAATGCCTATGACTGCTGTGAGGTACTTCTGAGCGCCAGCCGTCTGAGGGGGAGCCCCCGCGTGCACCGGCTCAAGGGGGTTTTCAGCAGAATGGAGGCTATGGAGCGAAGACCTTTAAATGCCAGGCTGCAGACATGCCCTTTCCAATGTTTCCATCTTTATCACCATGGAAACCCCCGGGCCACAGCGGGAAGTCAACCAAGTGCCATTTTCCTTTTAGATCCTTCAACCCCCGGGAGGGACAAGAGCCAGGAAGGGACCCAGCCACGGTGGGGGCGGTGGGGGGGGGGGGGGTTAAGAGTAAGGCAGCGATCGCCCTAGAACAGGCTGAAAGGGGGCCCCCAGCGGCCGGCCCTGGGTGCCCGGTGTGTCCCGGGGACGCTCCCTACGTCCAGCTAAGGGGCCCGCTGCCGTGTTGTGGAACAGAGCATTTTCCAAAACAAACAAACAAACAAACACAACCCAGGTCTCCTGAACTGTGGAGGATAGGACACACAGGTAACAGGTGTGCAGGACATCTGTGCATAGGGGAATGACCGACAGACATGGTTGCCTGGGTCCACAAAACGTGCCAAATGCCTACCACAGGTGACACCTTTTATTTATTTTAAAAAAAGAAGCTCTTCAAGTATTCTGGGAGGGGCTGGGGGTGGTTTGTGACCTGGGAGCCGAATCCGCCCCCAGCAACTGCACAGGGCCGGCACCACCCTCCGGCAACAACCAGGGGGCGCCCCCCACCCCCCCTCGCAGCCAGTCTCTGGAGCCTGGCACTGGACGCCACACCCCCTCTGACAGAGGCCGAGTACAATATTGAAAACAAAGAAGGAGTGCAAAAAGTGATCGATACAAAAAAAGTAAACATATCAGTTTTAATTGTCAAGATTATTCCAGGGCAAGAGTTCACTTCCAATCACTCGTCTCCGGTTCTGGTTCCGACGTGGCCCAGCCGAGACCATCGCTCCGGTTTCCTCTCCCACCTGCACATGCTCTCCGGCGCCTCCCTGATCTCGCCGGTGCGGAGAGAGACGCTCCTGCCGGCTCCGCAGCAGCAAATCACCGTCCAGTCCAGCGACCGGTCCGTCCCGGGCGGCCGGCCCCGACGGACCCACCCCCCCACCCCCCACCCCCGCCCTCCCCAGGGTGCAGAACAACAGACGTGTGCTCTTTGCGACGTACATCCCCTTCCCTCGTTCCAGTGTCAGCTTCCTCCAGGCTCCGCCGAGAGTCAGTGTGAGGTCATAAGGCCACGCGGATGCAGTGGTGCCTCAGTTTGCAAGGCAGGACTCCTTTGTTGAGCTGGTAGAAGTCCACGAGCTGGATCAGGTCGGAGAACTTGGTGTTCCCGTCGTCAAGGCTGAAGTAGATCTGCCCGTCATCCTCGCACTACGGGGACATGAGAACACTCACCGCGTTAGCGGCCGCCCCTCGGGGAACGCGGCGGCGCGAGTGTGGGGTCACCGCAAGGCGTCGCTGGTAAGAGCAGCTGCGGAAAGCGCCTCCCCAGCCCCCCGCGTGTTTGGTGGCTACTTTTTATCACGGTGGGGGGTGGGGGGCACTCCGCGGTCCCCCCCACAGCGAACGACTTTCCTGACGCCAGGTTGAACTCTGCGAAGGTGACGTTCAAGGACTGCAGAGCTCTGGGGCGCATGGGGGGGGGGGGGCTCGGTGGGTTAGGCTCCGGCTCTTGATTTCAGCTCAGGTCATGATCTCTCAGTTGGGGAGTTCGAGCCCCCAGTCAGGCTCTGTGCTAACCGTGCAGACCCCGCTCGGGATTTTCTCTCTCTCTCTCTCTCTCAATAAACAAACTTTTTTTTAAAAAAAAGGCTGCAAGCGCTGTCATCCTCATGGAGCAAATTGGCTTGAAATGTCTCAGTGGTAAACCCAGAACCCCTTCTTGACTCTAAAATACTGCTGGATGCACAACACACCCTGTTTTCAAGCACAGGGGCTGCGGTCTTGTTGCTCTAAGTCTCAAGCTACCCTGATAACTTCTAGAATTTGGGGTTCTTTGGGCGAACGGCATTACCCACTCTGCCTGCCCGTAAGATACGTTTTCACTCGATTTTCGATCTCAGGCGAAGAGAACGAGAACGTCTGTGTCCACGACAGGAGGCAGCGGTAAACAGAACGAACCATGGACAAAGCACTTCTCCTTGGCTGATGATTCCCAGGTTTACGCAGAATGCTTTATGGACTTGGGGAAGCCTGGCCTCAGAGCCAGACCCGGTCCCTCCCTCCCACTGGGGTCCAGGGCGAGCCGCTGGCAGCCCTCGGGCTCTCCTTATCCTTATTTGTAGAACGAGGGCATCGAAACACAGCCAGAGGCGACGGCACCACAGGACGTGCCCAGCCGGTGGCTTGCTCAGATCCACAAAAGCTACCCAGACGGCCCAGACCTTCTCCAGCCCGCATTTCCTGCCTCCGTGTGACTCCTGGGATGCCACAATCCTAGGCTCAGGCAAGCTTCGGAAACACCAGGCTCAACAGTGTGAAACAGATGCATTCGGTTATGTCGAGCCTTCTGGAACTTTCCGTGGCCGCCAGACTGTGAATCCCTGACAGGAAAAGACGTCATTCCCCTCTTCCGGCAGAATATTTCCTGGGTTTGGGCCCCGCAGGAAACATTTCAGGAACGTTACTACCACCTGCAGAATCTATCACTTAATTATGTAAAACACCTAATGTCAATTTTGTATATAGTATCCCCAACTGAATGGTGGCTTCATGGAGGTGCAGACAGCTGTCTCCCACAGAAGCGCTCAGTCATGAACTAGAATCTGAGCTTTGGAACACCAAAGAGAGACAGAACTTAGGCTTGAAAAATCTAACAAAAATTTTCTTTAAGAAAATGGTGCTGACTGACGTATTTGGTAATGATGTTTTCAGAGCTGCTCAAAGGTAGACTCTTTTTTTTGTTTCTTTTTAATGTTTATTTATTTTTGAGAGAGAGAGAGACGGAGAGTGAGCGGGGAGGAGCAGAAAGGGAGACACAGAATCTGAAGCAGGCTCCAGGCTCTGAACTGTCAGCACAGAGCCCGACGCGGGGCTCGAACTCACAAACCATAAATCGTGACCTGAGCCAAAGTCGGACGCTTAACCGACTGAGCCACCGAGGTGCTCCTGTTTTCTGATCCAAGGACCGAGTGAAAGTGCAATGCAACTTCTCGTTGGGGGCCATGTGACCACGGGTCAGTGTTTCTACAACTTTCTTGGGTCACCAGGTACACACCAGCATAAATCAGACCAATCCTCAGATTCGAGTGACCGAGAGTCAAACCTACCGTGAAGACCCTGTCTTGTGCCATACGTGCCCCGGCGCCAGGCTCCCCGGCTCACGGCTCTGTCATACGTCCACCCGCCAGCTGACCTCGCTCCTCCCCATTGATGCCGAGTCAGCTACAACGCGGGTGGGCCTCAGTGCAACGCCACCATTTTAAATATTATTTCTGCGGAAATGCCGTCCCCAATGTCAGACAACAGCCTTCTCCAGAGACTCTTGCAAGTATCCCTCTTGTGAGCTTGGGCCTGTCTGATGCCTAACGATCGATCTGTAGTTTGGTTCGTTTGGAATTTGAAAATTCAGGAAGCACGGACCCAGAAAACGAACAAAAACGAGGCTTGGTGTGATGTGACCGATACTTACAGGAAGGATCTGGAAATTTTTAATTTTCTGATGATGACACAGCGTGAGCACAAAAGCCTTTGGATTGCTCTGGCTGTCTCGGAGGAGAAAAAGCCTGGGAATGGAAAAAGATCAGCTGATGGTAAACTTTTAAAATGCAGACTTTTTAGACACGTAGGTATATGTGTGCACCTGTGCATACGCATATACACACACTCACACATTTCCCTGCTCCTGCTGCTAAGACAGGCTTGCAGCCACGATGCCTTAGTATCCGGGTGGCCTGCGGTGGCTGCAGGGACCTCGCATCCAGCCTGGTTTCTGAATATCACCCTGCACTGAAAGGACCCAGAGCTCCTCGGAGATGCAGTGGACTCTAGGGCCACGGCAGGGAAAGAATATGATGTAGCTGGACCATTTTGTGCCGGAAAGTAATACGTTCAAAGGGTCATGATCCAGGAGGCAGCATCAGAGGTTAAGTATCAGAAGTCACAGGTTATAACTCAGAGGATAAAACAGGAATCCGTGAGTATATACAGATATTACAAATAAACAGACGACGAAATTAACAGCGGACAGGAGAAAGCGCTTCCTGAGAGCAGAAAGGAAGCTAACTAGGTCGGGAACGATGGGTTAGAAACCGTCTTGCAGGTTACTACCGATCAAGACGATTGTTAATGGGCGTGAACATCAGCAGATGAAAATTGGTGAAAAACAGTATTTTCAGTCTCAAACCATCATCCCCCTAATACGTATTTATTACAAAGGGAAACACAGTGACCGTCCGTCAGAGAAACCCGGTCAATACCGTCACCACCAAGCATTTGAGGCACCTGCACCGGGAACAAGACAATCCTCCTGACTGTGCACCACCAGTGACTCGATGTCCCTTCCTGCAAAGTGGTGACCCAGCTGAACCCCGAGCGACCAGACGCGTTCAAGCCAAGGGGCACTCTGCAATTCCTGGCTTCTTCCCAGACCAAGTGTCGACAAAGGACAGAAAGGCTAAAGAGACACACCGTGTAGGGAGTATTTAGAATTAAGGGTTTTTTTCTTTTCTTTCCCACAAAGGATGTGATCAGAACCACTAGGAAAAGTTGGAATAAGTGTGCATACTGGATACCAGAACCACACGGATGTTTACTTCCTAATTTTTTTTTAATTTTAAAAATAATGTTTATTTTTTAGAGAGAGACAGAGCATGAGCAGGGGACGGGGAGAGAGAGAGAGAGAGAGGGAGACACAGAATTGGAAGCAGGCTCCAGGCTCCGAGCGGTCAGCGCAGAGCCCGACGCGGGGCTAGAACTCACGAACTGAGAGCTCATGACCTGAGCCGAAGTCGGACGCTTAACCGACTGAGCCACGCAGACGCCCCTAGTTCCTGGTTTTTCTAACGGTACTCTGGTTATGTAAGAAGACAAGTCCTTGTTCTTAGAAATTCCCTACTGGGATAAGTAGGAGACAAGGGACATCACGCTGTAACTTACTCCCAAATGGTTCAGACAAAAAAAAGGAGGAGGGAGGGGAGGAGAGAGACTATGATAATCCAAACGGGCCACCGTGTTGACGGCTGGGGAATCTGAGAAAACGCGTACAGGAATTCATTACATTCCTCTGGCAACTTTTCCACGATTTGGAATTTATTTCAAGATAAAAAAAAAAAAAAAACACATACAAATCAGAAAAGCACAAAGAAGGACTGGTCTTTGCTTCCACATGAGCACACCTGGCAGTGGCTGCAAAGACCGTTAATGCTCCTGAGAAAGGAAGAGAAAAATGTCCCAACGCCAGCAACCAAGTGACACAGACCTTAGCCTGCTTTTCAAAGGTATTAAAACCAAACTCTGAGTCACCAGTGAAGCCATCATCAGACTGAAGTGTTAAGACGGAAAGCAGCTAACTAGACTGGAAAGTCCTGTATCAAAGAGGCCAAGAAGGGGTGCCTGGGGGGCTTAGTCGGTTAAGTATCTGACTCTTAATTTCGGCTCAAGGTCATGATCCCAGGGTCGTGGGATCCAGCCCTGCGTCGGGCTCTGTGTTCACAGTGCAGAGACTGCTTGGGATTCTCTCTCTCTCTCTCTCTCTCTCTCTCTGCCCCTCTCCTGGTTGTGTTTTCTCTCTCTCAAAAATTAGTATTTTTTTTTAAAAAGCAAGTAAATGTTTTATTTTACTACGGGTCTTCTCAGAGCCTTTAAAATGGGAACATTCACTGTGAGCGCCTGGGGGCCCCAGCTCAGTTTTCCAGCCTTACGGGGACCACAAACCCCTGTGTTCTAGAATTTCCAGAAGGCATGTTCTTCAGAACACCGTCTGGGAGACGCCAGCCAGAGCTGAGTCCCACGACTCGAGGGGTGGGCAGGGGGGGGGACGGTGCTAAGAATCGCAGGACCCACGTGGGGTGTGGGCGTCACACAGCACCTCGAGGGGGCCAGGGGGCCTACCCCCTCCCCTGGGCAGAGCCGCACACCCCGTTACTTCGTCTACATCAAAGATCTGCCTTTGGGGTGATTTCGTTCCAAAGAATCCATCCTTCCGGGAGAAGCTCAGGAGCTTCTAGGGCTCCAGGCTGTCTGACAGGGAAAGCTCGGTGTCTCTGTCACCTTAGTTAGCTCCCTGTCACTTCGTGGCCCCAGAGTAGCCAGGGGAATGGGCACTGTCCCACTGCCTGTGTTTGGGCTCGACCCAGGGAAATCCTGAGGCGACCCCAAAGGCTTGGGTTTTATAGGTCATGCCCAACAGCCACCTGCCGGCAGTGATTACTAATTCAGAGCCTGTGGGCTGAAAAGCGCGTGGCTTGGGAGTCCACAAGATTCCCAGACCTGCCACGGATCAGCTCCATGACGCCCATCCCGCAGCCCCGACAAGGAGACTGGCCGCCGGGAAAATGGACCCGTGCACGACAGCGCACGGCCCGTGGAGCCCGAGGGGACAGCGATCGCCACCAGCAAACCCCAGACCCTGCGTAAAGACAGGCCGCGGGGAAGACTATGTGTCACGACACGTGGCCGGGTCAGGAAGTCTTGAACGCAGCACAGAGAGGAACGTGGTGAGGACGAGGTACAGGGGGGAGCCCCTTCAGATGTGCTCACCAGTGCGCTCGTGGAGACCCAGGAGCTAGCGGGCTGTGCCAGGGCCTGACCATGATCGGGGTCACAGCACGGTCACGGTCACTGCACACATGGACTCATTCCGCCCCAACGGTGACCCTGTCAATGTCCTCACTTCTTTCTTTTTTTTCTTTGAGAAAGAGGAGGAGAGAATGTGAGCAGGGGAGGGGAAGAGGGAGAGAGAGAAGCCCCAGCAGGCCCCACACTGTGACGCGGGGCTCAATCCCACGACCCCGGGCTCATGACCTGAGCCGACACCAAGAGGCGGACGCTCAACCGACTGAGCCGCCCGGGCGCCCCTGTCCTCATTTCATGATGTGGAAAGTGGGACACAGAGAAGTCAGCAGGTTCCCCAGGGTCACACAGCTAGCAGAAGCCACAGACGAACCTTGGCTTCCAGGATCGACAGGGGCACTGGTCAAATCTGAGGAGGTGTATACAGATGATTCCTCCGTGGCTGGCGAGCACTGCTAGGGCTCTGAACAGTGCTGCATGAGCCCCAGGACGGGACCCCTTTTTCTGCCCTGGGGAAAGGGAAAGCTACAAAGAACTCAAATCTGGACAAAGAAGTTTCCTTCCACCAGTGGAGGAGTGGGGTACAGACAGAGGGAGGTGGAGACCGGGGGCTGCGGAGGTGTAGGGGTGGGGAGGGTCGGGGACAGAGCCAGGGATGCTGCAGGAAATGACATGAGCCGCCAGGGGTATTTTAGCAGAGGGGAAGACACAGGTAGGTTTGCCCCTGGAAAGATCCTTCTCCAGGTTGTGGGGTGGGCTGCAGGCAGAGGGGAAGGGGGCAGGGAGCTCGCCCTCTGCAGGAGTCTGCGGGTTGGTGGGGCGTGAGAGTGCATGCATACACCTGCCCACAGGCACGTGCACACGCATATACACACGTACACATTTTGTGTATCTGGGTGCACAGGAACACACATGTGCATATAGACACATACATACACATGCACACACACGTGCATTCACACACACAGGTACACACACACACACACACACACACACACACACACACACACACGACCGCACCAGGGCATACAGAGGTACACACACACACGACTGCACAAGGGCATACAGACGCACACAAACATATAGGTACACACACATGTGCATTCACAGACACAGGTACCCACATACACACGGACACACAAGGGCATATAGACACACACACACATATGCACATACATACGTGCATTCACACACACAGGTATAAACACACACACACACACACTACCACACAAGGGCATATACATACATGCACACACACGTGCATTCACGTGCTGCTCCATCTACCGCGTGACAGGGAACAAGGGAGACAGAAGAGGGTATTCGAGGAACCACAAGTGCACCACTAGCAAACCACCCGCTCCTCCCACGCACAGACACGCGAGAAAGAGCCACAGAAGAAAAGCAGAGGGAGACGGTGGTATCTGAGGAGACCCGAAAGATCTAGCAACCAAAGGCAATTTGTTGGTCCCGATTTGAACCAGCTCAATGTAAAGGATTTTTTTTTTTTTTTTTTTTGGCAACAATTAGGGAAGTTTGAACCCAGATTGGATTTTAGATGATATTAAGGAATTCTTGTTTATTGCATTAAGGGTAACAATGATTTTGTGGCTGTGTCAAAAGACAGAGGTCTTTATTTTTTAGAGACACACTAACTACGTTTACTGGTAAAAATGTGGAATGTCTGGGATTTTAATTTTAAAATATTCCAGAAGGACCCAGGGAGGAGGAGTAGAAGAGAAGCCAACAATGGTGGGAAGGGAAACAGACAAACTGAAATTAGCGAACTGATAAAACCAGACAAGGATTAAGTGGGGGCTCACTATACTTTTCTCCCTTGGGTAACTTTTTAAAATTTCCATAATAAAACTTGTAAAAGATGAAAACCAGGGAAACCAGAGCCATGCTGAGCAAGACTGGGCGGGGGGGTGCCACGGCCGATGGGATATTAGCCCTTAAAAGTACTTGTGCACTGGGGTTTGACCTCTTGTACTCCCGGGAACCCTGTGACGGCTCCAGTGTGAGTGACCCCAGGCTAACCCGTTGGCACACATGCCCATCTCCCCATCCAATAGCAACACCCGCCCCCTGCCCCCTGCCGGCTGGCCCACGTGAGGACAGGCTCCACGGACTCCCGCCGTGAGAAACGGTACATCTTTGTGGCTCAAAGCCACCAAAGTCTGTGGCTGTTTGTTCTCGGCACAAGCTGGCTGATAAAATGCACACACTGAAAGGGGTGGGCAAAACTATTTTTCTTCCACTGCCGCTGCTTTATTAGTGAAAAATAACTGGCTTGTGGGGCGCCTGGGTGGCTCAGGCAGTCGAGCGTCTGACTCTTGGTTTCAACTCACGTCACGATCTCACGGTTCTGCGAGATCGAGTCCCGACACTGGGCTCTTGTGCTGACGACATAGGTCCTGCTTGGGATTCCCTCTCTCCTCTCTCTCTGCCCTTCCCCTGCTCACATGCTTTCTCTCAAAATACCCACCCCCCACCCCCCAAAAAATAGTAACTGGCCGTGTTCTCTGTCTGCATTTCCGCCAAGAGGCAGAACTTGGTAATAGATGGGTGGACAGGATGGGCTGCGATCCTCCCTCTGCCACACTCACTGGCTGTGCTGGGCCCGACGCACGCTGACCCTGAGCCACACCTCCTCTTTCACAGGAGGCTGTAAGGACTGCCCACCACCCAGATCTCTGAGAAATAATGTGCTCGCACAACGAAACCTCAGCAGATGCCCGCTCCCGGACGGCGCCTCCTTACCCGTCCACCAGCCCCTGCTGCTTAATGATCCTGTGTGACTCCTCCCTGGAGATGTGGCCGTGAAACCAGTGCTGTGTCCGATGAATCACTGTGGGAGGGAAGACAGAGGAGGGGAGGGTCCTGGCCGGTCCACAGAATGGCTCCCGTGAAGGCACAGCGCACTCGTGATCGGCGCGGGGGCCCGATGCCCACGGCTGCACAACTCGTGGTGCCCGCAGGGCCTGGAGGCTTGGAGAAGCTCGGGGGGTGGAGGTGGGGGAATGGGAGCTTTACGAGGAAAAGTCCCAGACCGGCATGCTGAGCTTACCCGTACTCAGGGTGGATGGCTGGAGGGGGCTTTGGCTGCTGAGGATATTCATCCGTGTGCTCCGTTTCTGCAGAAGAAATGCCCATGTTAGCGCTAAGACAGTGGACGGATGCAGCCCGCCAGCCACTGAGGACACACACCTGGGGCGGGGAAGGAGGACCACGGAGCAACAGCCACCTGCCACCCTCCGTGTCTGACCACTGTTGTTTTGTTTTTAATGTCTTTTATTCATTTTTGAGGGAGAGAGTGGGAGTGTGGGAGGGGCAGAGGATCTGAAGCGGGCTCTGGGCCGCCAGCACAGCCCGACACAGGGCTTGAACCCACAAACTGTGAGATCATGACCTGAGCCGAAGTCACTCAACCGACGGAGACACCCAAGCAACCCCTGACCACAGTGTTAAAAACAGAAGCATCCCGGGGGATTCGGAAGGCACACGCAGTGAAATTCCCGGTAAGTTTTGGGAAAAAAAAGCCTGAGCCACTGAACTCAGGCAGGCCTGGAAACACGGGCTCCGGAGAGTTCTCCACATGCTCTGAAGCTCAGGTTCACGGAACTTTCTGAGCCAGAGCGGCGGGTTCGTGGTTCACACCTTGTGTGTAAATCTTAGAAAGTCTGCAGTCAGGGTGATGTTCTGATTTCTGGAAGTCAGAACGTGAGCCTTCAAGGGAGGAGACCGTCCGGGGCCACGAAGCTGGTTAGTTGCCGAGCCACGATGTGCAATGTCTATCGGCCTCATTAGGGTGGGCTCCGTGCTGCCCACACATGGCCACAGACCGCCCCCCAGCAAGAGCAGCTCCGAGCGGGACCCAAGAGGTCACAGGGCTCTGCTCCTGTCCCGCGCCTCCTCCGGGAGCCAGTGGGGCGCATGGGCGCTGGGGATGCGGAGGAGACCCCACGCGCCAACTGCTTACCCCCATCTGAGCCTCAGAGGCCGCCCTCCCCTCCCCTGACGACACCCCCAGAGAGGATCACACTTTGGGGAGACCAGCGGGGTGTGCCACGCACAAGGGGGCCTGCCCTTACCCTCCAGGCGTGGCCTTCCTCCAGGGCTGCACTCTGGGCTTCGGCTGGGTTCTCGATCACTCTTCCTGTTTGCCCGGAAAAATCCATGGCCACGAGGGAGTTCTCAGAGACGCTGCGCTGGAAGGAAAGGGCAAGTTCCTACGACGTAGGGAAGGAGGCCTCAGCCGCACATGGGAACGCAACACCGTCCTAAAGGTGGCCAGGAAAGGGTGACAGCAATGTCCCGCCTCCCCACTCCAGGGTTCGGAAGTGGGGGGCACTCTGGAGCTAAGGACGGCTTTGGTTTCTCTTGAGGAGAAGGAGAAACGCTCCATTCCCCTTGTGGCCTCTAATGACGCTGGTGAGGCTGCGGGTGCCAAAGAGCTTGGACTGCGGGGTCCCTCACAGGTGACCTGCCCAGACCAGGACACATCAAGGGGTGGGAATGCCGTGGGGAGCTCAGCCCTCAGCAGACACCAAGTCCTGATTCAGGGCGAGGCGCGGACCCCCCTGTGACCTACGACGTCTCCCAGGCACGGACCTGAAGGAGCTTTAAGATTGGGTTTGGAGAGGACCAAGTCGTTCCTGCACTTTGGGAAGCGGAGTATGTCCCGGGAACAAGGACGTTCACGATGATCTCTAGGTTCCCACCAGGGAAGGTTCTCGCATAACGGTCTACAGCACCCACGGGCGCCACGGCTGAACAGGGGTGAGAGCCGGACGTTGCCGGTGACAGTCTCTGACCGCTTGAACAGAGTCACCTCCCTGAACAGGCTTCAGGGGCATGCAGGATGGTGGAGGGGCGGGGGGGGGGGGGGTCGGTCCCCAGCAGTCACGCTGCCGAGAAGACAAGATCCGCCTTCCGGGCAGGGGAACGGGTGGTGTAGACCAGCTTCCCTGAGATGCACGGGCTCTTTCTGGAGCTTTTCCAGGCAACCTCGCCTGAAACCATCTGGGTACAAAGCACTGTGATGCCTTCCGGAGACTCACCACTGGCGTGGAGAAGGAGGGGAGCAGGGGCTTCCGCTGTGGCGGGATCCTGTAGTTCTGGTACAGGAGCATCCCGTACTGCGGAGGAAAGGCCAGAGTTGGTCACAGGGGCCGCGTGAGCCCCACAAGCCCCGGAACGCGGCAAACCCATGGTGGTGAAGGGCAGTGCTGAGCGGTGCCCCAGCTGCCTCTGTGAGCCGACGGACACACGCGCAATGCGGCACACTGCCTGGGTCCTGCGTAACCGTCACCACCACCCATCCCCCACCCCCCAGACGCCAGTGGCTGACTGGCTCGCTCATGTTGTTGGGCAAGGGATAAGCAGGCAGTGACGATGTAATCAATTGAGAACAGTGAAGCCTACTGAATGCTGCTATGGGCCAAGTACGGTCCCAAAGGCTTTATGCTGCTGTCTCGTTCAAGACTCTCCCTTTTAGGGAATGTGTCCTCTGTCCCCGTCTGACAACAGATGTGAACAGGGAAGGGAGGCAAGTTGCTCAGGATCCCGGTAAAGTAAGGAATCTGGATTCGAAGGCACACAGCCTGTTCCCAACGGCGTTCTTCCCAAGCACCAGGCTCACTGCCCGACCCGCTCGCTGGGTCACGCTGCCTGTGCCCTGGCGAGAAGCAGGGTCCCCCACGCTTGCAGCCGCCCAGCCTACTCTCCAGTTCCCCGCTCCCACCACACAGACAAGGAAAAAGGGCAGGTGAGGACAAGGCTACCAAGAGGGCTGCACTTCCCTTCTGTGTCCTGCAGGCTGGGTGACGCGTTCCCAGCTCCAACCCTACAGTGTGTCTGTCCTCGGTTCCAGAATAAAAGTGCCGGATAGGGGCGCCTGGGTGGCTCAGTCAGTTAAGCCTCCGACTCTCGAGTTTGGCTCTGGTCATGACCGCACGGTGCGTGAGATCGAGCTGCGCATCAGGCTCTGCGCTAACAGTGCAGAACCCGACCGGGATTCTCTCTCTCTCCCTCTCTCTCTCTGCCCCTCCCCTGCTCGCACTACCTTTCTCTCTCAAAATAAACTTTAAAAAATTAAAAAAAAAAAAAAAGAAATAAAACTAAGTGAGGAGTCTCCCCTGGCCCGCCCCCAACCAGATTTTTTTTTTTAATGGAGAAGACAGGCTGGCGGGACGAAGTGAAAACAGTCAGTGGTGAATTTAAGCACAAGTATTAATAATCGAAATGCTATGCTTCCCAACAAACACTCCAATGAGAACATGAAGGTTATCAGAGGAGAAAGACAATTACGTTATGTTTGTAACAGAGACAAGCTCTAAGTGTAAGGACCCAGAAAGGCAGCAGAAACGAGGAGAAGAGAAAAGCCGTGTGAACACTAAGCAGAAAACACTGAGGTAGCGAGAGTAACGTCATATGGGCCAGATTTTGAGGCAGGAAGTCCTGATGCAGATAATAAAGCATAATAATTCGGAAGGACCAAAGAATCAATGTGAAGAAGGCGTAAACTACTCTGACGTTGTCTGAGCTACTAACACGCACACGCGTGTGCACGTGCATATGTGGTTCTCTAAACGGATACGTGTGTGCAGTGTGCACGTACATGTATGTACGTATTAGTTTTGAACCCGGTAATCACACGAACGTGACAAACAGCAACTAAGCTAGAATTTAAGAGGCAGAGTTCTAGTCTGAAACACCGTTGAGAACGTTAAGCCTTCAAATCAATGATCTAAGGATACCTTTCAAAACAGTATAAAAAGATCATGAAATTAAGGCCAAAGAAAGAAAACGTATGTTCTCTCTCTTCAGGAGGCCCCAACACTGCTCGCAGTTCCAATAATTCGCTGGAACGACTTCTCTTTGATTTATAGGTCTAACTAGTTTGTCTTTTTCTTATTTTTTTTTAATAATTAAAAAAAAAAATTTTTTAAGAAACATGTTTTTAACGTTTATTTAGTCTTGAGAGAAAGAGACAGAGTGTGAGTGGGGAAGAGGCAGAGAGAGAGACACACAGAATCCAAAGCAGGCTCCAGGCTCCAGGCTCTGGGCTGTCAGCATAGAGCCCGATGCGGGGCTCGAACTTGCGGACCGCGAGATCATGACCTAAGCCGAAGTCACCAGTCAGACGCTGAGCTGACTGAGCCACACAAGCGCCCTGGCTCCGACTTCTCGAACGTGAAGCATCTGTGAGAAGCTTCGAGACCCTGTCCGGACAGACGTGCGGGCGCGCCAGGCTGCCAGGACGCTGGGAGGACTCGCCACGCACCTTGAGGAGCCTGCACGCCGTCATCCAGCAAGTTCTGCCCTGTTCGTCCTCGGCACACAGCAGCCGCAGCTCCTTCGTCTCGCTCCTGACTTTGTTGGGCTGAAGGAGGCAAGCGATGACCCGGTGAGCGTTGACGAGGCGAGTGCGGAACGTGCCCGTGTGACGGCAGGGCTGTATGCACACGGCGGGCAGCGGCAGGAGGTGTCACCAGAGAGGGCGCCTCCGCCTGGCCCCCATCGCGCAGCTGAGGGCTCGGCCACCCTCCAACAGGGAGTCTCAGAGAACAGACACGGGACAGCAAATCTCCCAAGACAAGGCGGTGGCCGCAGGGACAAGGGGGCATCCTGCTCTGTGGAGGGAAGGCTGGATTTGACAGGAGAGCCCGGATGAAAAGATGTGCGGTGGCCTCCCCGGAACACCGAGGTGGCGGCTGAGGAAGCGGCCCTGCAGGGCTCAGCCAGCGAGGGGAGAAGCCCCCGAGGGCATATCTGAGTGGCCCCACGGGCAGCCCAGAGAGTGAGGGTGGTGTCACCCCAGAGAAGGGGACTGGGGTGGATGAGCGGCCTGGGGTCGGCAGGGGGTCACCGTCACAGCTGCCACCGTGCAGGGACAGCAAGTGCACCCACGCAGAAGCAGGGCTTACCTGGCGATGGGGGCAACCGCTGCAGGTGCTAGCCGGGGGGAAGGGAGGGGCACCGACCACCTGAGTTCCAATGGACCCCCACCCCGCTGCAGCCCTCCCGGTGCCTCCCCCGCACCTCGGGCCCTAGGACTCCTACTACTTGCGACCCCAAGAAGCTTCACCGGGTGAAGCAGCAGCTGGTATTTTAGGGAGCAACGCGCCCCCTGCTCCCTGACCTCTCCTCGGGACGGTGTGGAAATCTGGCTCAGAGGTCAGCCCAGCTGGGGGACTCCAGGCACACTCATGGCGACCGGACGTGAGCACCGGGGCTGGTGCAGGTCCTACCTGTGAACACCTAGGAAGATGCAGTAAGACGGAGGGGGACCCTGAGCACGGCACCCAGTGCACAGCGAGTGTGCGGGAAACAGCGCTACCGTACGATGACCAACATCACCACCGCCTCACCAGGGGTGTGTGTGCATGTGCACATGTATGCTCATGCCTGCATGTGTACTTGTGTGTACACAGTATGTGTATGTGTGTGCCCGTGTATTTGCATGTGCATATTGTGTATGAGTGTGCATGTGTGTTTGTGTGTGCATATACAGGTGTATGTATATGCATGTGTGTGCACGTGTATTTGTGCATACACATGTACACGTGTGTGTGCATATATCTGTATTCACGTAGGTGTGCGTGTGCATATTGTGTATGAGTGTGCACGTGTGTTTGTGTGTGCATATACAGGTGTACATATATGTATGTGTGTGCATGTCTGTGTTTGCACATGTACACTTGTGTGTGCATGTATCTGTATTCACGTAGGTGTGCATGCGTGTGCATAGTACATGTGTGCACATGTGTGCCCATGTATTTGTGTGTGCATATTGTGTATGAGTGTGCATGTGTGTGTGTGCATATGCAGGTGTATGTATATGCATGTGTGTGCACGTGTACTTGTACATGTGCATGTGTGTGTGCATGTACCTGTATTCACATAGGTGTGCATGCGTGTGCATAATGTGTATGAGTGTGCATGTGTGTTTGTGTGTGCATATGTGTGTATACACATATGCATGTGTGTGCATCTGTATCGATGATAGGTGTGCATGTGTGTGCGCACATGTATTTGTGTGTGCCTATGTACACGTGTGTGGATGTATTTGTATTCATGTAGGTGTGCATGTGTATTTGTGCGTGCATATTGTGTATGAGTGTATGTATGTGTACATATATACATGTGTGTGCATCTCTGTATCGATGTAGGTGCGTGTGTGTGCACGTGTATTGTGTGTGCATGTCTGTGTTCCTGTAGGTGTGTGCATATGTGTATGTGCAACTGAGCGTATATGTGTACCTCTGTGTGTTCCCATAGAGGTTGTGTGTGCGTACACATGTGGAAATATATGTGAATATGTCCTCTCACACACAGTGTCTTCTCACACACGTGCACAGAGGCAGGTCAGGGCTGTGGGCACACATACCATTCTGGTGACTGGAAGCTCATACAGAAAGTGTTGGCTCACTCAGTACCCTGGAGGCCACCCAAGTGATGGGCGGCGGGTCACTAAGCCACTGAGCCCATTGACTCGCATTATCCATCATATTCCCTACTTTTCTCTGAGCCGCTAGCTACCCAAGGATTGACACACCATAAGCACAGAGGGATGGATAAATCCACTGGGAACCTCTGTTTGTTAGAAAATAAACCAAAAACTCCCACCACCAAGGAAGGCATTTGTTGGCTAGTTCCCAAGTCTCCAGCAGGATGCCATCAGGGCGTGGCAGCCCCGGGACGGGACAGGGGTGCGGGGGTGTGGGGCGGGGGGTGGGGGGTGGGAGAGGCAGGCTACCTTTATGCAGAAGCCATAGTCCGTGGGGGCGCAGTACTGCTTCCTGCCAGCGATCAGGGAGAATATGCTGCTGTCCTCCAAGCCCGCCAGCAGCTGCAGGTGTCTGGGCTCCTGGGAAAAAAAGGGTCGTCAGGTTGACAGGGGAGAACGTCTTAGGCACGGCCAAGAGCGAACGTTCTCACGTGCTCCTCAACAGAGGGCAGGCTGAGCACACTCTCAATGCGGCTCTTTCCCCTCTGCCGCTCTACAGACTGCAACCATCGTGTAAAGTAAGCGCTAAGTTAGGACCAAACCCACCCGGCCCTCGCCAAACAACCCCCTCCCCCACTTGGGGTCCCACCAGCCCCTACCCCTCCTGTATTAGCACGTATTAGGTTGGCGGCCGTCCTTACGGCCACCTTGGAGGCTAACTTCCAAACTATGGAAACTGAGGCAGCCTCTTCCGGGGACTCAGGCTGCTAAGGACGCTCTGCTCCCAAGCCACAGAGGGGGCCGGGGCTGGCCAGCCAGGGGCGCAGCGAGGGGGCGTTGCTGTCTGTGTTGTGGCCTGGTTTCTGAGGGAGAAGAGCGGGCCAGGAGCTCGGAGTTTGCTTCACAAGTCAATACGAGCTTGGAGGGGCCTTGGGCACATTTTAAAGCGAAGCCATGTCCACTGCAAACCCTGCTGGCCTGGTGTGACGGAGGCGGTGGCGGCTTTAAACCTCACCTTTGGGGCGCCTGGGTGGCTAAGTCAGTCAAGTGTCTGACACTTGATCTCGGCTCAGGTCACGATCTCATGGTTTGTGAGTTTGGGCCCTGCACCGGGCTCTGTGCTGACAGTATGAAGCCTGCTTGGGATTCTCTCTCTCTCTCTCTCTCTCTCTCTCTCTCTCTCTCTCTCTGCCCCTTACCCTCCGTCTCTCAAAAGAAACATTTAAAAGAAACAAACAAAAAAACCAACAACGAACTCACCTTTGACACTCCTTTAGTGGAGCAGTAGAGGCCCGATCTCCGCAAACACACGTACAACTTTCGCCATGACTTCTTCCCCAGATCCTTCACGTGCAAGAACCCCTGAATTTCAGGACAGCTACTGCAGTTGAGAAAGTTCTGTGGAAGAAGTCAGGCAACGCTGCCACGGGAGAATTCGGGCAGATGTGTCCCACTGGCCTCCCTGACATCCCGACATCCTGTCAATCGGCACAACGCTCTTTTCTGGTCCAACCAAGCATTCGCAAAGGGCAGCTTCCCTTTCAAACACCAAAAAACCCCGCCTGACTGGCTGTGGCGGGAAACATAATTAGTATTGAAACACAATGGTAGCGAGCGGGCCTTTCCTTTCTACTTGGTGCCACCCGGAGAGCGTTGGCTGCCTTTGTGAGTGTTGTATTCTCTCACCTAATATGCTGTAGATTGACACATTTTGGGGGCACGGCAGCAATAACATTCGCTTTCCCGACTTCCCCGGAAGGACTGACCGGCCGTTGGTGCAGGGGCCCCAGGGACTCCCTGCACCGGGAAGGGGCCGCGGGAAGGCCAAGTTTTCTTGAAACAGACTTCAGGAGGCACAGGGGCAGTGAACAGGGACAAAAGCATGTATAACGAACAACACGCTAGCTTTCAAAGAGTTTTCTGGCAGCCCGGTCCTTTTCCATGGTGACATGGGCTCAGCAGGTCTGTAGAGATTCCCAGGGCGGTGGCCTGACCCGGGAGCTTCGAGGAGACGGCCAGCCACGGCTTCTCACTCCTGCCCTCCCGCTCCCACCGCTTCTAATCCGGAGGGAGCTTATCCTGTCTACGAGTGCTTGTTTCGCTTTGAGGGAGCTTGGCGGTGCACACGCTTCCCAGGGCAACATTCACGCTGGTTGCTCTGAGCGCCAGCAGGAGCCACGGCGAGCGGGGGTGACGAGCACAGCCCCGTCAAGGTCCTTAGAGCCGCTGCCGCCACAGCGCAAGGGGACCTCCACCCAGACCCGCTCCGGTGAGCCTCTCCTTGCCCAGTACCTGCAACAGCTGGTTGTGACCGCCGTTGGGCTGCTGGCACCAAGTAACCATCTGTTCTGGGAAGAAATTCTAAGGAAACAGGAAAACAGTCGTGGTTAGCGGCAAAGTGGGGAGAAGCTTCCTCACGGGTGCGCTAGTTCTGCAAACGTTCCTGAGGGCACGCGGACGTCCATCTGTAGTTAAAATGATGGTCCTTCGTTAAAAAAAAAAAAAATTTAAGAAAGGGGCGCCTGGGTGGCTCAGTCGGTTAAGTGTCCCACTTCGGCTCAGGTCATGATCCCATGGTTCGTGGGTTCAAGCCCCGCATCGGGCTCTGTGCCGACAGCTCAGAGCCTGGAGCTCGCTTCGGATTCTGTGTCCCCCTCTCTCTCTGCCCCTCCCCCACTCACGCTGTCTGTCTCTCTCTCTCTCTCTCAAAAATAAATAAAACATTCCAAAAAATGAAATACCATAAAAAAATTTAAAAAATTTAAAACTAAAAAAATAAAAGTGAATAATGAAATTAAAATGAAATAAAAACAAAATGAAGTAAAATAAAATAGAATAAAATAAAATAAATAAAATAAAATAAAATAAAATAAAATAAAATAAAATAAAATAAAATAAAATAAAACACCGTCCTTCTTTCTCCTTTATCCCACGATGGAAGCACCTGCTTTGAAAGGTCGGACTGTTTCCTAAAATGGTGAGTTCAGGATTGTGGAGTATCCGTCATGTTCAACGTGGACTCCTGCCTCACAGCGCACACCGTGGCGAAGGGCCACCACGCAGTGGAACTCAGTGCACGTCACGAGACAGAGACCTCGGAACTCACAGAGGAACACGGCGACGCGACAAAGTCTCTTCTGGTGCATTATGCAGAATTAGTTACCAAATTTCTAACTTTCAAACAAAAAAAGCATCTAAACCACCTGAGCCAGAGCGGACGGTGGGTCTTCTGCCCGCGTCACGGCTGCTCGGCCTCGTGACTCAGGACGGGAGCACATGCTGTGGCAGGCACGGGTCTCCCGGTGCTGATACCTCACGGGACTAGTGCCCCCCGCCCCCCCCCCCCAATAAAAAGGAAAGAAAGATGGAGGAGACCAGCCCAGTATGCCTGGAAATGCATTCCTCCACAAACCACACGGCAGTATTTGCTGTTTGCGGAGAGCATTGAGTTTTTATTATGCTGCGTATTTCACCGATTGGCTCCAATCTAACCATGAACTTTTGCTCTAACTGAAAAGCGCCGTCTCATCTCTCCTGACCCAGGGAGGCTCACCCCCTTTCCCTCTGTTACCGTGGAGGAAGGTGCCAGTTCCCTCCGGCCAGTAGGCAGGCATGTAGCTAGAGCACCAGAGATGAAGTGTAGGGTGTGGATTGCTCCGTGAAATAGCCACTTGGATTCCCAAACCCATCTGCTACCCCTGTAGCAGCGGCTGCTGTCAATCCCAAGCATCAGCCACAAGATTTCACGGGTCCCAGACCCCGGACCCGAAGAGAAGACACTCACCGTAGGATTTTTGAAAAACTCGTATTTTGCGTAATTCTTCCTAAATAAAAATTTGCTGTCACTTGCCAGGGTGCTCTCCACCTGGACCACCAGCTCGTGGTCTTCCAGGTATCTTTCTGCAGAGGAAAAACGTACGTGTGAGACGAAACAGGCACAAGCTGGGAGCTGGCTTGATTACCAATTACAAAATCTCGTTAGCGTCCTGTTCCCCTTCCCGAATTGTGAGCAAGGAAGTCCAGGACTAAATGAAGTTTAGATCTCTCTGTGGGGCACCTGGGGGGCTCAGTTGCTTACGCGTCCCACTTCGGCTCAAGTCATGATCTTGCGGTATGGGAGTTCGAGCCCCGCGTCGGGCTCGCTGCTGTCAGCACAGAGCCCGCTTCGGGTCCTCTGTCTCCCTCACTCTCTGCCCCTCCCCCGCTCGAGCTCTCCCTCTCTCTCAAAAATAAACAAACATTTAAAAAAAATACTTAAATCTCTCTTTAATGCACTGCCAGGTGCACAAGAGGTCCTCAGGTAGGTACAGCGTGAGGGGTCAAGTCAGTCCTTACTTTTATATATTTCTTCTCAATTTGGCGTCAGCGAGAGTTGAGAGAGTCAATGAAGACCCTAGTGATGACGTTGCCCTTAAGTTAGGAAATTTCAACCCTCGTAAAGAACATGGACTATAATAACCGGGAGAAAGAACACCCAGAGACCAGGAATGGCAGGAGAGACCGGAGGAGGGTGGGGTAGGGGAGGCACAAAGCAGAAGGGTAGCAATGCTTTCGATGTCATGAAGCTCGGTGGGCAGATACGACGTCGGGTAAGAGCATGCAGGAGGGGACCTACTGCCATCAGTCTGTCTGAACCCACTTCCCTTGAAGGCTGAAGCCCATGCTAACCACATCCCGGAGCTGATCTCAGAGACGAGATTATATTATTAGGATGGGGAGGAAAACACATCATACACAGCGTGCGCCCAGGTGCGTAAGCACACGCGCACGCGCACACACGCACACGCACGTCAGACCGCCTGACTTTGCAGCGTTATCAACCTGGAAAGGTACTTCCTTCGTGGACACTGATTCCACGTGGTGCACAGAGAACCGCACGTGGCACCGTCCCGTCCCGATGGTGGTCACCCCGGCCCCCACGTGTCTCCTAAGACAGGAAACCAACCGTACGAAAATAACGGGACATGTAACAGAGCAAATCCACGGCAGCCTTGAGGCGTGAATCGATGCCACGATGGCAGAGCACGAGATGCTACTAAATGACACAAAAGGGGTACGCGGGTCCTCCAAAGCGCCCTCCTCCTTTCCCATGGTCAGAGCGGAGTCCTGAGAAGAGTCTCCCCTTGCGGGAAGGATGAAGTCTGGCGTCAGAGCGTTTCTGAGTCAAATGTGGAAGAACCTGTCCGTGTACAGGTTCGAGCCCGTGGTAGCTGCCGGAGATGGGCCCACAGGGGCACACTCAGCCTCCACTATGACGTAACAACGCCCGGCTGGAGCGTGCAATCACAACCACTACGTGTACTTTAAAAAAAAAAAGGGATTGGCTCAGATTGGCATCCACTTAAAACGGATTTTTCTGGTACAAAACGAATCATTGACTTCTGTTTCGAAGTTTGGGCGGAAAAAACCATTTCTGTAGTGACAGGGACAAAAGAAACAACCACCCCAAATCGGCTGAAGATAGGTTTACAGAATCGGAATGTTTTACCAGGTAAAATAAGGAAAGAGAGAAAAGCGGGGCCGTGGCTATCTGAGGGAGGACAAGACCGATGCCGAGATCCAAAGCAAAAGCATTTTGTCTGCAGAGTCGTGAAGACGCCCGGGAGGAGCAGTGGGGAGGCAGCAGCTCTAAGGGGCACACGTGCACACACAAACACGTGGACACACACATGCACAGGCTCCTGTCCTCCCCGACAACCTCTTTCTGCCTCCCCGCATCCCACCAGGGCAAGATCCCGGGAAAGCCGCACACAGACTGGGCTGCATCCTCGGTGGCGGGGCCCAGGGCAGCCGGGGTGAGGGGAGAAGAGACCCCGTGTGCACTGAAGGGGACGTGCCTCTCTGGGTCACTCTGGTGCCGCCAGCGGGGCTCGGGCACCCACAGGTGAAAACAAAGGTTTGCCTTCTCCAGCCCACAGGGCGGGCGCCCGGAGCCCTGGGACAGCGGGGGCTAGGAAGACTGCGTGTGATCCCCTTCCCAGAGACCCGAGAGCCGCCCGGCTTCCTCCGTCTGCCGCTGGATGTCCACATGCCAGTGTTCCCAGCTGTCAAAAAGCCACCGCAACAATGTCAGTTCAAACCCCTCTGCTCCAGTTCTGACTTTCACCTTGATTCTAAAAACAGGTGTTTTCAAACCACGTCGGGGGATTCTGTTAACCACACTGCCATCTATAAACTTCATACAATCAGGGGCGCCTGGGTGGCGCAGTCGGTTAAGCGTCCGACTTCAGCCAGGTCACGATCTCGCGGTCCATGAGTTCGAGCCCCGCGTCGGGCTCTGGGCTGATGGCTCGGAGCCTGGAGCCTGTTTCCGATTCTGTGTCTCCCTCTCTCTCTGCCCCTCCCCCGTTCATGCTCTGTCTCTCTCTGTCCCAAAAATAAATAAACGTTGAAAAAAAAAAATAAACTTCATACAATCATAATGGCCTTAAATGAAATTGGGAAGCCAAGTTTCAAGAGAGCGCCCCCACAGGATTTTTTGTTTTTTGTTTTTTTAATGTTTATTTTTGAGAGAGACAGAGAGTGAGTGGAAGAGGGGCAGAGAGAGAGGGAGACCCAGAATCGGAAGCAGGCTCCAGGCTCTGAGCTGTCAGCACAGAGCCCGACACGGGGCTCGAACCCATGAACCGCGAGAGATCATGACCTGAGCCGAAGTCGGAGGCTTAACCGACTGAGCCACTCAGGCGTCCCCACGTCAAAGGATTTTTTGTGCAAATGGAAGAGTCAGACATTCCTCAGAGGAGATTCAAGTCTTTTTCGAATAGTTGACACTAAATCCAGCATCCACACCACCCCCCTACTCCACATGAAAAGTATTTAGAGACCAGGCAACTCAAAAAGGCAGATCCTACTACGGAAGTAAGATGTGCCTTAAGATGTGCCATGGACACGTGACTACTTAGCAGAAGCCTGAGCCTCCCGCCCTGGCTGGTGTCAACATCCTCCTCGATGCCCCGCTTCTGTGCCCACAGCTGGCACAGCCCACCCACCCCAGACAGCAGAGTTGCCTGGGGCTCTGCAGGACTCGGGGGCTGCAAAGTCACTAGGGAGATAACACAGAAAACAGCCCCGATGTCTGGATACGCCCCATAAGACGCCTTCCTTCTACATACGGATTTCAGTGGGGAAAGGACATCATTTTGGTACCTCCGCGGTGTAACCACAAGGAGACAGAGATGGGAAAGATGGGCCCTCGAAGGCCCTTCTGAGCACCGAGGGCTGAAGGTGCCTGTGGATTCTCCTTCGACACCTGTCCCCACATCCAGATGTCAGCGCCCCTGTTGCGGCTGATGCCTCCAAAGGGTGACTGCCACACCTTTCCTGCCTGGCCAGGTACAAGCATGGAGCTGTCAACAGTGCAAAGACAGAGCTCGTGCTTTTTCCTGGAGGGCTTTCACCTGACTCGCGCAACAACAGAAACCCCCAAATCCCTGAAATTCACAGAAGCGGTCTTCTCCTCCCTGTGCGTGCGTAAGGTCCAGGCTCTCCTGGTCGTATCTGTCCTGATGTCCGTGGTCACTCAGGGCCTGGGTGCGAGAGTCCCTCCCAGAGATGCGGTTTACCTGAAGTCACATTCTTAATGCCACAGGGACGCCAAGCTGCCGTTTTGCATGCCCCAGTTCCAGTTTTATAAACTTCCTTTCAAAAATAGTTTGTGGCTCAGTTGGTTAAGCATCTGACTTCAGCTCGGGTCGTGATCTCACAGTTGGAGAGATCAAGCCCCGCATCGGTCTCTCTACTGTCACCACGGAGCCCGCTTCAGGTCGGCCATCTGCCCCCCTCTCTGCCCCTCCCCTGCTCTAATAAATAAACACATAAAAAAATGAATGAGAAATAGTTTACTCGATAATACAGCTGCAGGCTGGCTGTTAAATCTCCCTGCATCCCTTGCATGAGACATCTGGACACCTGCAGCTCACCGGCTCAGGGCAGACGGCCTGGCGGTGCCTTCCAGAACAACTGCCCGGCACCGGCCCCCTCTAGCTGGACTTGGCCGCTGTTGAGTGGCCTTGGTCAGGAACAGTGTTCGCAAGGCTGAGAGCTCTACACAAAATACCGAAGCCACAACACGTCCAACAGGCAGGACTTGTGGGGGGGATGCTAAGACATGAAGAGTTCACATGCAGAGAGGGGCTCGTTGGAGCTGGGAGTCCTGAGACACAGAACGGGCTTCCCCGAGATCACCCATCATGAAGGGCTCTGCCCCCCCACGGTGAGGGCTCCTCCCCAGGTTTTCAAACCGTTACCTTGAGTCCTAAGTGACTTCAGGAACAGACACCGGGGTGTAGGAAAGGCACTGACCTGGCTGTGGTATGAGCGTGGCTCAGAACAGTGAAATCCAGCCAGATCCCTGCTGGGTACCAGCAGGCAGCCACTGCACCTGCTCCCCTACCCCCCCCCCCCCGAGTGTGATGCCCCTGCCAACACTGGGTGGCTGGCCCCGGCTCGGGGGCCACCAAGGGCAGCAGCCACGCACAGGCATTTAGAAAACCACTTTTTCTAGGGGCGCCTGGGAGGCTCAGTGGGTTAAGCGGCCAACTCTCGATTTCAGCTCAGGTCATGATCTCACGGTTCGTGAGTTCGAGACCCGCATCAGGCTCTGTGCGGACAGCCCGGAGCCTGCTTGGGATTCTCTCTCCCTTCCCCCCGTCATTCTCTCTCTCAATACATGATAAGAAAAAAAAGAAAACCACGTTTTCTTTTTAAAAAAATTTTTTTAACATTTATTTATTTTTGAGAGACAGAGCATGAGCAGGGGAGGGGCAGAGAGAGAGGGAGACACGGAATCTGAAACAGGCTCCAGGCTCCGAGCTGTCACCACAGAGCCTGACGCGGGGCTCGAACTCACGAACCATGAAATCATGACCCGAGACGAAGTCGGACGCTCAACCCACTGAGCC